AAGATCATTTCTTGTTCTTTCATTTGCGATGACTTCTTGGCATTTTGTCTAAGTGTCTGCCTCCTTTGTGTTAGAAAAGCCCATTATGTTTCCTGTTCCTGAGAGTAATGGCTTTATGAAGAAGAGATCACATAGTGTCCAGGGCCTCCAGCTTCAGTGTGTCTCTGCTGTGTGTTGTGTGTGTTCTGCTGTTGTTTTTTGGCTGTTCTATTCTTCAGGCCAGTTATATGCAGAGGCTCTCCTTCCCTGCAGTGTGCAGCGTTTGGTCTTTGGCCAGAATGTGGTTAGTTTCAACTAGGTGAGCTCTAGTCAGGTTGTGAAATGAGAACTAAAACAACTTTCACTAAAACTGAATCCCTACAGAAATATCTGGTCAGGAGATGTGGTGTGGACAGCAATTTCTGTGTAGAGGCCCACTGCACTGGTACTGAGGCAAGCTTGACTGAGAAAGGCAGTCCAGCCAGAACACAGGACTGTGGGACTTGGTGTAAGCAAGTAAGGCAGCCAGTGTGGGTGCTGCATTGGTTCTGGAAGATGGTTCTTTGCTTATGCTGATGGATGGGGAAGGGAAGTGGCACCAGCCAGCTCCCCCAGAGAAGCATCTCCCTGCATGCTGCCTCTCTAGGGTGCACTCTGAGAAGAGTGAATAATCTCCTCCCTGTGTGTCCCAGTTATCTTTCAGATCTCTGTTTCTACACTATCTGTCTCTGTGTTGTTTGACTGCCTTTTTGCCAGGAGTAGAACAGTGCCCTCTGGCCTCTATTCCAGACAAGGCTGCTGACTTTTAAAACTCCAGGCTTTACAGACATAGTGTGGGTGGGGGTTTGTTCTGGTCTTCTGGAGGAGGGGACTACTGTGCTGGGATTGATGCAAGCTTGACCAAGAAGGGTAATTACACCAGAGCACAGAGGGGTGGGACTTGGTGTAAGCAGGTTAGGCAGCCAGTGTCAATGCTGAGCTGCTTCCAGCAGGTGGCTCTTGTTTATGCTGAGAATGGGGGAGGGAAATGGCAGGAGTCGTCTCCTTTGTCCCCAGAGAAGCTCCTCTCAGGGAAGCACCAGGGAAGCATTCAAAGAAGAGCAAACAATGTGTGCCCCAGGCATTCTTCAGATCTCTGTTTCCATGCTGTCTGCCCCTGGGTTGTGGGTCTGCCTTGTCTCCAGGAGTAAGGCAGTGCCCTCCAGGCTCTATCCCAGCCAAGCCATCTATTTTGTTGTGGTTGCAAGAACTCAAAAAAATCAGTCCCTCTCATTTTCCCAGCCAATGGCTTCAGGGAAATATTCTCTTTGTGTGTTCCCCTGTGTGCTCCTTTATCTCTCACCCTTCTCTGCAACCATGGCTTCTGCCACACTGTAGCACCTGTGATCTGTTTCTCCCCTAAACCACATTACCACACTTCCTAACTTCTTTGATGTGGCTTCTTCTCTCCCTTTTGTTGTGGAGTTTGTTCTGTCAGTCTTCAGGTTGATTTCTGTGATACTTAGAATTATTTGAGAGTTATTTAGTTGTGCTCCAAGGATGAAGTGAACCTAAGGTCTTCCTACTCTGTCTTCATCTTAGCTCCCCCATGATCATTTTAACTGATGAAGAAAAAGCATAAGTACAACATCCATTCATGATAAAAACTCTCACCAAAGTAGGCTTAGAGGGAACATACCTCAACATAATAAAGCCCATATATGAAAAACTGATAGCTAACATCATACTCGATAGTGAAAAACTGAGAGCTTTTCCCCTAAGATCAGGAAAACGACAGAAATGTCTACTCTCATCACTACTGTTCAACAGTTACTGGAAGTACTAGCCACGGGAATTAGACAAGAAAAATAAATAAAAGGCATTCAATTTAGTAAGAAAAAAACTATACTATCACTATTTGTAGATAACATGATACTTATTGTATGTTGTAAACCCAAAAGCCTCCATCAAAATACCATAGAAGTGATAAACGGATTCAGTTAAGTCACTAGATATAAAATCAATGTACAGAAATCTGTTTCATTTCTTACAATAATAATGAAGCAGCAGAAAGAGAAAGTAAGAAAATAATTCTATTTACAATTGCACCAAAAAGATTATAATACCTAGGAAAAACTTACCCAAGGAAGTGAAAGAGCTATATCTGAAAAATATAAAACTTTGTTGAAAGAAATTGAAGATGACACAAAGAAATGAAAGAAATTCCAGGTTCATCAATTGGGAGAACCAAGACTGTTAAAATATCCCTATTATCTAAAGTGATCCAAAGGAAAAAAAAATAAAGTGATCCAAAGATTTAATGCATTCTTTATCAAAATCCAACATTTCTGAGAGAACAAGAACAAAGAATCTTAAAATTTGTATGAAACCACAAAAGGCCCCAAATAGCCAAAGCAATCTTGAAAAAGAAAATGAAAATTGGAGGTATCACAATTCCAGATCTTAAGTTACGCTACAAAGCTGTTGTCATCAAATATTGTGGTCCTAGCACAAAAATACACATATAGATCAATGGAGCAGAACAGAGACCCCAGAAATAAACTCATGCTTATACTGTCAATTAATCTATGAAAAAAGAAATAAGAATATGCAATGGAAAAATGACAGTCTCTGCAACAAACTGTGTTGGGAAAACAAGACAGCCACATGCAAAAGAATGAAACTGGACCACTTTCTTATACCATATACAAAAATCAATTCAAAATTGATTAAAGATATAAATGTGAGACCCGAAACCATGAAATTCTTAGTAGAAAACTTCACCAGTAATCTCTTTGACATCAAAATACCATAGGGATTTACTACTACTGGGATATACCAAAACAAAAAGCATTTGTACAGCAAAGGAAACAATCAATAAAACAAAAAGACAACCCTCCAATTGGGAGAAGACACTTGCAAATGACATATCCAATAAGAGGTTAAGATCCAAAATATATAATGGACTTACAACACTGAACACCAAAAAACCACAAACAATCCAATTAAAAATTGGGCATTATACATGAGTAGATATTTTTCATAGAGGACATACAGATGGCCAACAGACACATGAAAAGATGCTTGTCATCACTCATCATCAGGGAAATACAGATCAAAACCACAATGAGATATCACATCATACCTGTCAGAATGGCTAAAATCAAAAATACAAGAAATAACACCAGGTGTTATATGGAAGTGTCAAATCACTATATTGTACACCTGAAACTAATATTACACTGTATGCTAACTGGAATTTAAATAAAAACTTAAATAAATAAATAAATAAAAGAAATAACAAGTGTTTTCAAGCATGTAGAGAAAAAGAAACCCTCATGCACTGTTCGTGGGAATGCAAGATGATGCAACCACAGTGGAAAACAGTATAGACATTCCTCAAAACACTTAAAAGAGAATTAACATGTGATCCAGTGATTCCACTACTGGGTATTTACTCAAATAATATGTAAACACTAATTTGAAAAGATATATGCACCCCTATGTTTATTGTAACATCATTTACAATAGCCAAGATATGGAAGCAACCCAAGTGTCCATCCATATATGAATGAATAAAAAAAATGGTGTATATATATAATGGAATACCAATAAGCCATAAGAAATGAAATCTTGCCATTTGCAACAACATGGATGGATCTAGAGGATACAATGCTAAGCCAAATAAGTCAGTCAGAGAAAGAAAAATACCATATGATTTAATTTATATGTGCAATTTAAAAAACAAAATAAATGAACAAAGAAACAAACAAAAATCCCAGACTGTGAAGTATAGAAAACAAACTGGTAGTTGCCAGAGTGGAGCTGGGGGGGATGGGTGGGTGAAATAAGTGAAGTGATTAAGAGTACACTTATGATGAGGACTGACTAATGCATAGAATGGTTGAATCATTATATTGTGCACCTGAAATTAATATAACACTCTATATTAGTTATACTGGAATTCGAATTTTAAAAAAAGTAACAAATACAGAAGACATGAACAGACATTTTTCCAAAGAAGACATCCAAATGGCCAACAGACATATGAAAAAGTGCTCAACATCACTCGGCATCAGGGAAATCCAAATCAAAACCTCAATGAGATATCACCTCACACCAGTCAGAATGGCTAAAATTAACAAGTCAGGAAATAACAGGTGTTGGTGGGGATGCAGAGAAAGGGGAACCCTCCTACACTGTTGGTGGGAATGCAAGCTGGTGCAACCACTCTGGAAAACAGTATGGAGGTTCCTCAAAAAGTTGAAAATAGAGCTACCATAAGATATAGCAATTGCACTACTGGGTATTTACCCCAAAGATAGAAATGTAGGGATCTAAAGGGGTACATGCACCCCGATGTTTATAGCAGCAATGTCCACAATAGCCAAATTGTGGAAAGAGCCAAGATGTCCATTGACAGATGAA